GTGAGAAACCATATGAATGTAAGGAAAGCAGAGAAGCTCTTAACCAAAAGTCAGATTTCAGTGGTAATGAAATAATTCACACACATGAGAAACCATATGAATGTACAGAATGTGGAAAAACTTTTAGCCAAAAGTTATACTTAAGTATTCATCACAGAACTCAAACAGGTGAGAAACCATACAAATCTAGAGAATGTGGAAAAACTTTTAACCAAAAGTCACACATCAGCATTCATCAGAGAACTCACATGGCTAAGAAACCATATGAATGCAAAGAATGTGGAAAAGCTTTTAGTGGAAAGTCATATTTCACCATTCATCAGAGAACTCACATGGCTAAGAAACCATATGAATGTAAGGAATGTGGAAAAGCTTTTAACTACAAGGTAAGCCTCAGCATTCATCAGAGAACTCACACAGGTGAGAAACCATACGAATGTATAGAATGTGGAAAAACATTTAACCAAAAGTCAAACCTCTGCATGCATCAGAAAATTCACACAGGTGAGAAACCATATGAATGTAAAGAATGTGGAAAAACTTTTACCCGAAAGTCACACCTCTGCAGGCATCAGAAAATTCACACAGGTGAGAAACCATATGAATGTAAAGAATGTGGAAAAGCTTTTAACCGAAAGTCAAAGCTCAGCATTCATCAGAGAAGTCACACAGGTGAGAAACCATATGAATGTAAAGAATGTGGAAAAGCTTTTAGCCAGAAGTCACAGCTCAGCATTCATCAGAGAAGTCACACAGGTGAGAGACCATATGAATGCAAAGACTGTGGAAAAGCCTTTAGCCGGAAGTCACATCTCAGCATTCATCAGAGAATTCACACAGGTGAGAGACCATATGAATGCAAAGACTGTGGAAAAGCTTTTAGCCGGAAGTCACAGCTCAGCATTCATCAGAGAAGTCACACAGGTGAGAGACCATATGAATGTAAAGACTGTGGAAAAGCTTTTAGCCAGAAGTCACAGCTCAGCGTTCATCAGAGAAGTCACACAGGTGAGAAACCATATGAATGTAAAGACTGTGGAAAAGCTTTTAGCCAGAAGTCACAGCTCAGCATTCATCAGAGAAGTCACACAGGTGAGAAATCATATGAATGCAAAGACTGTGGGAAAGCTTTTACCTACAAGTCAGAGATCAGGAAGCATGAGAGAATTCACACAGGTGAGAAACCTTATGAATGTAAAGACTGTGGAAAAGCATTTAGGGAAAAGTCAAGCCTCATCATTCACCAGAGAATTCACACTGGTGAGAAACCATATGAATGTAGAGAATGTGGAAAAACTTTTAAACAAAAGTCACACCTGAGTAGGCATCAGAGAAGTCACACAGGTGAGAAACCACATGAATGTAAAGACTGTGGAAAAGCCTTTAGGGAAAAGTCAAGCCTCAGCATTCATCAGAGAAATCACACAGGTGAGAAACCATATGAATGTAAAGACTGCGGGAAAGCTTTTACCTATAAATCAGACATCAGGAAGCATGAGAGAATTCACACAGGTGAGAAACCATATGAATGTAGAGAATGTGGAAAAACTTTTAACCAAAAGTCAAGCCTCAGCATTCATCAGAGAAACCACACAGGTGAGAAACCATATGAATGTACAGAATGTGGAAAAGCTTTTAAACAAAAGTCATGCCTCAGAATTCATCAGAGAAATCACACAGGTGAGAAACCATATGAATGTACTGAATGTGGAAAAACTTTTATACAAAAGTCACACCTTAGCAGGCATCAGAGAAGTCAAACAGGTGAGAAACCTTGTGTATGTAGAGAATGTGGAAAAACTTTTAACCAACAGTCAAGCCTCAGCAATCATCAGAGAATTCACACTGGTGAGAAACGATATGAATGTAGAGAATGTGGAAAAACTTTTAATCGAAAGTCACACCTTAGCAGGCATCAGAGTATTCACACTGGTGAGAAACCATATGAACATTAAGAATATGGAAAAGATTGTAGTGAAAAGTTATACTTCAGCATTCATCAGATAAGTCACAGAGGTGGGAAATGATCTGAATGTAAAGACTGGGAAAGCTTTTGCCCACAAATCAGACACCAGGAAGCATGAGAGAATTCACACTTGTGAGAAGTGATAAGAATGTAGAGAATGTGGAAAAACTTTTAATCAAAAGTCACACCTTAGCAGGCACCAGAGAATTCACACAGGTGAGAAACCATAAGAACATGAAGAATGTGGAAAAGCTTTTAGCGAAACGTCATACTTCAGCATTGATGGAGTTTGGATGGGTTGTCCCCTTCAAAACTCATGTGGCAATTTGATCCCCATTGTCGCAGTGTTGGAAACTGATTGAGTCATGCAGGTAGATTCCTCATGAATGGATTAATGTTCTCCCTGGTGGGGGTAGTAATGAGGGAGTTCTTGCTCTATGAGTTTCTATGAGAGCTTGTTTATAGGACCCTGCCACCTCCTGTCTCCTGCTTCCTCTCTCCATCTGATCTGCTCATACCCACTGGCAGCCTGCCACTTTCTGCCATGAGTAGAAGCAGCCTGAGGCCTGTGCCAGATGTACCTGTCCCAGAATTGTAAGCCAAATAAATCTCCATTATAAATTACCCAGTCTCAGGTATTTCTGTCATAGCAATACAAAATGGACTAAAACAAGCATTCGTCAGAGAATGCACACAGGTGAGAAACCACATGAACGTAGAGAATGTAGGAAAACTTTTAATCAAAATTCACACCTTAGCAGGCTTCAGAAAATTCAGACAGGTGAGAAACCACATGAACATTAAGAATGTGGGAAAGCTTTTAGCAAAAAGTCATACTTCAGCATTCATCAGAGAACTGACACAGTGAGAAACCATATTAATGTAAAGAATGCGGAAAAACTTAATGAAAAGTTAGACCTCAGAAGGCATGAGAGAACTCGCACAGATGAGAAACCATATGAATGCAAAGAATACGCAAAAGCTTTTTAACAAAAAGCCACACCTCAGCAGCCATCAAAAATTCACATAGGTGGGAAACCATGTGAATGTAAAGAATGTGGAAAAACGGTTTACTGGAACTCACCATATTAGATATGAACAAATTCACATGTGGGAAAATCTCAACTTATGTAATGACTGCTGGAGTAGGTTTTGCCATAAATCACGTCATGTTTCATCACAGAACTCACATCAAGAAGTAGCCCTATAAATGCACAACTGTCCCTTGGTATTGGAGAGTGGTTCCAGGACCCCCAGTTGATTAAAACCTGGGGAGGGTGGAAGAAGTCACAACAATTACAATTCCTTGAAGTCGATAAGACAAGCGAAAAGAAAGGAGGTTGTCAGGAAGGAGGGTGAGAGGGAGGAGGGAGGGAGGTTTTGGTAAAGGGCCGCAATAATCAACCACATTGTATATTGACAAAGTAAAATAAAATCTAAAAAATAGTTAAAATGGTAAATATTAAGTTATGTATATTTCACCATATTACAGATAAATAATAATAAAATTTTTTTAAAAAGGAAGAAAGTAAAGTGAAAGCTCACACTGCAGTAGGCATGAGATAGTTTACATGGGAAATTCTGCATGGATTAAACTAGGTACGTATTTTCTACAAGCACCTTTTTTGTCTTGTACAGATGCCTGCAATCTCAGCTTTTAATTACTGTGTGTAGAGACATGTAATTTGTCTGTATTCAGGGGAGTGTGGATACAGATGATAAACATTCCTTCCAGGCCAGGCAATAAAAAAATATGCAATTGTCCCTGACTTCTCATTCTCTGGGCCTGAAAGGCAGATGAATCCTAGGATAGAGTCAGTGGCCATAGGTGGGAGGAATTCACCATAATTTAAGACAGACTGAATTGAAGAAACCATAGTTCTTTCCAACTCTATCCCCAAATCCTCTATTCATACTTTATGTAAGAAAGACCATTTCATGTGTGATCTCTTTGTGTTACAACACAAGTAGCCCACTGTGCTAACTGACTTTATGAACTTTCTGAGAGAAGTTACCAGTTCTTGAATGTGAGAATATTCACACGGAAGAGAAACCTGTATTGTCACCTTTTACACCCAAGTCTGCTTATGGGAAAATTCAATTATGGGGAGAAACAATGCAATACATACAAAAACACCTTACCAGGCGGGGATGTCTCATTGAATACTGACAATAAGTTTATCTTCATCAATGTCTTTAATGTGTCAAAGCTTTCAACATAACTTTCATTTTTATATATCAGATAATTTGAAATGAAAACTATTTATGTAAGGTGAAGGCAAATTTTCAAATAGAATTGATAAATGTTGGATCAAAACTATTTAAAAAGTTTTGACTATCTAGCAACAGTTAAATATGAGTGGTGATATTCTCTGACAGGACGTTTGGCTATGTCTGAAGACATTTTTGTTGTCATAACTGGAAGTTAAAAGGTCTAGTGGAAAGAATCCAGATATGGTGCTACACAGCCTACAATGCATAAAACGGCCCCAAGTATGCTGCATTTATGCATATAAGTAGTTGTTAAAATTTATCTTGACAGAAGCCAGCACAACTATGGATAAGAAATACACATAGGATAATAGTGTGACTTAGATCAGAATTTTTTATTAGCCTATTTATTGTTATGAATCATACGAATCATACCAATCTCTACCCTTCCCCTTCCTCTCCCCCTTCTAGTCACCATAGATTTGTTCTACCCATCTGATAGATTAACTGATTCTCTGTTGGTTTGTTGCATTGATGATCCATCTGGTACTGAGACAGATGTGGTCAAGTCCTCCCGTGTTATAAATCAGATGTTTCTTTTACTCTGTAGTGTGCTTTGTGGGGGGAGTGGGATTTTTTTTCTGTCTCCCCTGGTGCCTCTCCTTTTGTCAATGCAGTTGAGAGTCTGGTGTATCGTGCACAGTGGCTGTGACTGCTGCTGTAGAGTGTAGCTGATTTTGCAGCAGCCATAACAATTGTGGTGGCTATGTGGTCTACCTGCATGAAAATGGTGTTTTTGGTATGCTCTACCTGGTTGTGGCTGGTTCAGGTTCCCTTGACTCCATGCCTTAGTACCCTGATGTGGCCCAGGGTGATGGTGGTGGCTTTCCTAGTTCTGGCTTGGTTCAGCTTTCCCAAGCTCCAGATCTCTGGACCCTGGCAGGGCCCAGACAGTGGCAGCTGCTTGCCCAGTTATGGCTGTATTCAGCGTCCCCTGGCTCCATACCTCCTCCTAAGATGTGGAGCAGTGGGGGAGAAGAAGGGGGAGGGGGAAATAGGGTGGAAAGACGGGGAATGAGATGGAGCATGATTGAAACTTGTGCCCTCATTCCTTCATGGGAGGCCAGGGGGCTTCTAGCAGTGGCTGGGTTGTCATTGGGCTGGATGCAGATGTCAGGGGGTGTGGCTCAAGCCCTTAGCCCCCAAATGCCCCAAGCTATCCATATATAGGATCCAAACCTGTGGCCTCGGCACTACCAGGACCACACTCTCCTGAGTGAGCCACAGGGCCGGCCCCAGGATCCTGGAGTGTTTCCTACAGCAGCTCACTGGTTGTCACTGGGCTGGTTTTGGTGCCCAGGGGATGTGGCTGAGGTCCTTGGCTCCCATTGCCCCAGCTTGGGAGACCAGGGCACTTCCTGTGGTGGCATGATGATAATCACTGAGCTGGTTGCAGATGTTGTGTGTATGGCCAAGGCCCTTGGCCCTCTGTCATCCCAGCTTGGGATCCCAGGACACTACCAGCAGTTCCTTGGTGGTCATCACTGTGCTCATTATGGATTTGGGGGAGGACATGGCTGAAGCCCTTGGCACCCCACAGCCCTGGCTTAGGATTCCAAGATGCTTCCTGCAGCAGCTCAGTGGTCATCACTGGGCTCATTATGGACATTGAGGGGGGTGGTTGAGACCCTTGGTCCCCCACAGCCCCATCCGAGGAGCCCAGGATGCTTCCTGCAGTGGCTTGGTTGGATGCAGATGTTGGAGGTGTGTGGCTGAGGCCCTTGACCCCTCAGTGCCCTGGCTCAGGGGCCCAGGGTGCTTTCTGTGGGGGCTCAGTGGTCATCACTGGGCTGGTTGTGGATGTTGGGTGGGTATGGCTGAAGACCTCGGCCCTCCCACTTCCTGGGCTTGGGAGCCCAGAGGCTTACAGTCCTTCTAGGTTTTATAGGTGTTCTTTGGTGGTGTTAGCCCTTTACGAGTAAAGATCAAACTTTGTCTCTGACCCGTGGATATTTTGGTTTTTTCTTTCACTTCTATGTTGGATTACTCACTGTTCCCACCACTTAAATTCTGCACTGGAATTAATTTGTTGTCTTTGGCTTACTTCTAAAATGGAGGAACTTCCTATGGGGACCAGCACTTGAGCCCTGTGGTTTAGCTAAATTGCTGCTTTGCTGGTGTTTTCCTGGGGAAGGCTTTCTGTGCAGATCATGTTTTAATGGTTGACCTTGTATGTACTTCCTGGTCAACCTCATGAGGTCTGGTTCACCTGGGTTGTGTGGAAACTCTGGTCTGGGCCAGAGTCTTTTCAGCAAACTGCAACCCCAGCAATTCTGTATTCCTGATCAGTCTACACTGAGTGATCCTGTGCTGATTGGAGCAGATCAGCTGTCTATGCTGTGCACCGATGTTCCCCTGGTGGGCCATCTCCCCAACAGCCCACATTCCAAACACTTCCCATAGGACAGACCATGCACTGGTTCCTTTTCATGACTCACTGGCCTCTGAGTGGTTACTTTTTTCTGTTGTCTGTGGCTTTTCACTTGTATATGGGTCCACAGAAACCCTGTTAGTGGTCTTGCTGGCCTGGGTGCCACTAAGTCCCTCTTCTCTCCTGCCACTTTCAAGCAACTTCACACAAAGGGCACAGCTGTGGCTTTTGACATCTCTCGCTCTGTGTGTTCACCAGCTCCAGCCTTAAAGTGGCTGGGGCTCAAAATGGTTGGAGCGATCCTTTCTCTCATCGTGGCTTCTTCTGCCTTCATGAGCTCCATGGGTCTCTCCTCCTCTTCCCCTAAGCTCTAGCAGCCCCAGCTTGGCTGTCATTGCTTTTTAATGGTTGTAAATTTGTTGATTTGCCAGTCAGAGTGATGCAGGGGACCATCTATTCTGCCATCTTTATTGGAAGGCTTACCTCAGAATTTTGGATATTAAATGCCACTTCTTTATATTTTGTTAAATTTATTGCCTAAAGTACTTTGCTTCTTACTTTATTCCCATTCTCCTATTGTAGGAGATTTGTATGTAGGAGATTTGTAGGAAACTTGTATGGCCATTATTACA